GGGAGTTTCGTGGCATCGCGACGCTCTCGCGCGGTCACGTACGCACGACGAATCATACGATTCGATCGTCGCGAGTACGGCGCGTTCGTGCTGTGCTTTTCCGAAGGTTACCGTCGAGCGACGCTTTTTCTGCTATTGATTCAGCCCTTCGGTTCGCGGCCCGTGGCGCGATCGCTCGATAAGTTGCGTGTTCGCACATACGCACCGCCGACGCGTATATTTTTGGCGATAAGTCGCGCGCGAGAGTTAACTCACACTCTCCCCCCCCCCTCCTCCTCCCCTTTCCCCTCCTCTATCGATCAAAATTACTCTTCGTGTACGATTTCTGACAGCTTAATCGGTTCCCGGCGACGGCGTCAGATTGTCTCGCTTTCGCGAACTCGTTTGCTTGTTGCTCGCACGCCATGGACTAGTGAGTCGGAGGGTCGATCTTTTCTGAGAAACAAATTTCACGCTTAGCCATGTAGATTATTCGATAATCGTTGGAAATGTAGGACGTTAATACAGCATTGGTACGCTGAATGGACGAAAAAAGTAATTTTTCAGATAAATATACTCTGTTTTGATATTTCGTACATCATTACAGAATTTTGTCCGATGCGAATCAATATTTGTTTTTGCGAAAAACACATTTAATGCGCTTTGAGGTTAGTTTAATACTATATTTTCTTGCAACATAACATAACCTAGCAAAAAAAAATATTAATATCAATTATCATCTTTATCGAGTTTGTTCCTATCATTTTCAACGCGATTTTTTAGTTATTCCGTTCTGTGTGTCTAATCGATCTAATTTTTATTAAAAATTGCTTCTTCAAATATCCAACTAACGGAAACAATTTTTACTATCGAACGTAACTTGAATATTCAGTAATACAAATAGTAGAAAATTTAGAGTTTTTGCGAAGGCTGATATTTGCTCAAATCGAATAGTAACATCAGAACGGCTTTAAGCTACGTATCGAATGACGCTGAACATCAGTTCGTTAAGGGTTAAAATCTGTTTGTTATTGAGTCGGATAATGACACAATAGTGCAATTTGATTCTCCCTTTGTCACATTTCGTTCCGCAGCAGCTCGAATCGTATTGCACGGAAAAAGCTGTTCCCGAAATTCTCAACGGACTGTTGAGCAAATACTAAATTATTACGAGTTACGAAAAATGCAAGTTGTGTTCGTGTATCGCGTGCAATTATCGCACTTGTCCATTAAACGATTGTAAATAGTAATTCGTAAAATATTTGGATCTGAATATAGCATCTAAATTTAATATAATATAAAACGAAATATTTTTAAAATATACACAAAGAAAATCTTTAAAATACGTTATCATTAAATGTCGTATTTAATTATCATGATGAATTTGTCATATATTTGATGTTTATATTTACAATATTCGATATTTAATTATCATATTATTAAATACAACATTAGCTTCAGGCAGAAAATTGCTGATTTAATTTTATTCTGTATTTTATATAAAATCTATATGTATATAAACGACGTATCACACATTAAATTATACATAATATTTAATTTATGATTGCTAATTTAGCTTGCCACGATTTGTCTTACACAAATAGAGGTATACACTAGTAATATAACGGAATAAGCTATTAATACATTTTCATCGATCAATATACAAAATGTAATAACAGAAACTCTCGAGAGAGGTAATCTATCCCGTAGCACATAATTTGTTTGACGTATAAATAGGAAATATGTATAATAATTATTTCATTAAAAACAAATCGAAAGTAATTTGTCAAACATATCAGAAACGTGGCAGATATGAGCGTATAGTGAAAAAAATTTTTAAATAATTAAAATTGTTATAAAAGAGCAAAATAAATGTCGCAGTGGTCATTTTCGAATTACAATTAAACTCACGTTTTTACAAAAAAAGAAAAAGATCATTCTCTTGTAGATAGGTTTTTAATGAAATTATTTTTATAGTAGACAATTTTTTAAATTAATTTCTTAATTGTAAAAGGCCAATTTAATAATCGAAGTACATTTCTTGTTTTAAATTAAATTAATTCTAGTGTATTCAATATGTTTCTGTAAATTTGTAATTACTTCCGCGTTTGTACATTATTTATTTTTATTAAATTTTCTAACTTAAATTACCTTTTTAGAGTACTTGATTTAATTGAATCGATAAGAATAATTGATTAGTCACATAAATCAAAATTTTCTGTACTCAATTCTGTGAGTAGCAAAACTCTTGCCATAGCCAAGTTTGTAAAAGATTTGACTTCTGCGGTTTCACCGTCTCTTGCGGCTTTAACTGTCAATGATAATTCTGAGTTGAGAAAAGATATGAGCCACAAGTCGTATCCGATATACCTAAGACATTGCAACACGATGGATGCAAACGACGCGTTTTACCTACGACTGCAGCTTACATCGCACAACCCGGGAATGGAAATTTCGGCCACCAGACTCTGCTAGGGTAATCTTATCTGCCACAACTTCGTGACACCAACCGGTGACTTAAGCCGAAACGTCAACTATCGGCTACGACAGTCGATATCGAGCTTCGCGTCTGCCGCGATCTTCGTCGAAATCTAAAAGCGGCGTCCCTGCGCGATGTAGCTTTCGCCTGATATGATTGACAAACCGATTACTTAACTTTTCCTCGTATTTTATGAGCCACAAAGGAAAGCTTGCAATAGATTTTGCTTTCTTTTCTTTTCAAACTCGTTACAAAACTAATATGCTGTTATTACAAAATATGTAAGAGACTTGCTTTTTTAAACAATTATAATTTTACAGAATTATAATATACAATTATAATATACAGAAATTTATTCCTCTCGTCAATATTTAATATATTTATATTTAATTATAAATATTGAATATTTTTTATAAAAATAGCATTTTTCCTTTTCTATTTTATAAGAAACGCGGTATATAATTTATTCACAATCTGTAACAATCTGGTCTGACCTCGTACATAATTTCTATAAATAATTTAAATATTTAGAAAATTAATATAATAAAAAAGAATAATGTAACGATATAAAATATGTTACATTTTAATGCATTGATTAAATTATATTCAAATTAATTATATATAATAATATACCTTTATGGTATATTAATTAAATGGAATTAATAATATTGATTCATTAAATCAGTTTTACATTTTATTTGATAGACGAAACAAGCATATATTTGAAGAAAAATAAAATTGTAAAAAAGGCATAAAAAAGAATTAACACAATGCACGAACTACGATAAAGTTAATTATAAGATAAGTTTATATCGATTACTTTTTAATCTCGACGTCAACCAAAAGAGATTTGCGATATTAATACACACTTATTTGCTATTGTAATTTTAAATAACGAAGTCACGTGCTTCAATATTCCGAAAATTTAATTTGAACCACAGAATGCGGTTGATTTTTTTTCTTACAATTGCAAATGCGCACGCGGTGCCTTGCATATTTGAATAGCACTTGCGTCTGCCAATGTTGATACTGCAAACAGAAAAGCGTTGCAAGTAAGCTCAGCAATAAGCGAAAAACCTAATTCGAAACGCGTTAATATTCGCGATTCCACGCAACGGAATGTCGGAGCGTTAGCGACCGGCGATTGTAACAATTCGCCTTGCATTTTCCGCAATGCAAACATCCTGTTTGACGTTTGCATGAGTGTTGCGTCTCGGGAGTTCTCGCGGCAGGATGCACGATTATATCCCGTCCCTTTGCTCCGCAATTTTGAAAAAAAAGAGAGAGAGAGACGGAAAGGTAGAAAGCGAGGCGAAAACAACCTCTTTGTGCGAGCCCGCGGGAAATATGCATGCCTGCATTGATATGCATACGGTGTCAAGTAAATTTGCATCGGGTATCGCGCGAAAATAGAGACCTATCATTTGCCATGATATAACGAGAATAGTAAATGCCACGAATACTTTGTTATGCTCAGGCCATTTGCACCTGAACCGGTTTGACCTGTGTCAATTGATCTTTGCAGAAGCATAAGTGATATTCGCGGTTATCATTTTCTAATCTACTGAATTATTTATATTTTGAAGTACGCTGCAGGACATTATTACAAATTTTTATAATTCTTTAAAGATATTTAATTTTCAATATATTGGCTCTCTAATATTGAATTATGTCGAGCATTTATTCAGCAGAAGATTTCTGAAAATTCTTAAGAAACTATTTCTATAATAAATTTTAATTTTTTAAGAATTTTTTCGATAATATTTACGATGTAATATGATTATTATACAACTATTTCAGAATTTTAATTTCTAAAAATTACTTTTACACGAAAAATATATTTTCTTATTGGAATCTAGATTTTATACTGCTAGATATTTTAATTATTAATTTTGTCTTTAATTTGATTCACAGATTTCGTCATCGGAGCTCGATTGTCGCAGCATCGGCTCGGTCGCATTGTGAAGAGTGTCTCGCGCCGGTGCATCTCGAGTCGTCTGATGCTTGTAATCGCGAGTAATTAGTGATTCGACGGATTGAGAGAGTGTCGCGTGTGTCGCGTGGTGATTGACAGAATTCGCCGGAGCATGCGACAGTAAGGACTTATCGACCCCAGCAACGTGCATGTTTATCGCCGGACGATGGCTGGACTACGCTACGCTTGCCGGCTCTTCGTCATCCTGGAATACCTGTCGGTCGTTCTGGTGTTCGCCCAGAACCCCGTGGAGGAGAAGACCACCTTCGAGGCTGCTTTCCAAGGTGAGTCGTTTTTATTTGCTCGCCGGATTTATGAACTCCTAGTAACTGCCGTTACGTAGGTGGTGTGATGTATCGGTCTGACTTCTGTTACTGTCGGTATTAGTGCAAAAAAGAAAGCTACGGATCATCCCGCGTGCGCGAGATTGACGTGCAACATTGTGCTTTAAACTCTTGTTTTTTAATCCAAAAAAAAAGTTCTAATAAAATGCTGTTGTTATTTAACAATGTATTTGATATTAACGAAAACAGTGCGTGAAATCAACAAGAAGAATAGCCCGCTATTATGATACATATCTCGATGTTTATCTTTTATAGTAAAAGTTATTTATTTCGCAATATAACGTGAAGTTGTTCTAGCGATCTTTATTTGCATCGTGGCAAAAGGATTGCAACATCGTTCCATGTTCATTAAAATTGTTCATAAATTTTATTCCGCTCTAAAATGATTGCTGCGTATTTGCAATTAACGTTGCAGCTTCCTACAAGGTGCTTCGAGGAAAATTCTATTCTAGTAGCAAAATTTTATTCTAGAAATTATTTGAATTATATGTCTCTCTTCAATACGTTCTGTAGATTTGTATTAATTTAAAATATTGCACAATAGAAAGTAATTCAACTCATTGAAAAGCACATATTGTACAAACGAATATAGTCAAACAATGTAAAATTGGAAATGTATGGATAATCAAAGACTCATACGTACTCATCGTTAACTAATAATGAGCTTGGAAATGGTCGTTCTCGTATTTATGTAATGGAAATTATTCATTTTACAACGTGATTTAGTTACGTCAGCAGATTGCGTTAACGTCACAGGAAGAAAATATTACAAGACCATTTAATATTCATAAAAATAATTCAGAAACTTGTACTTTACACTATAATTTCAGTCTATAAAATTCTCATTTCCGATAATGTTTTCTAAGATACCAGATGCATCCGATTTTTTGTTTTAAAATGCAGTCTTTATCTTAATATGATCACACACACATTATGTGAGCTATTTTCTTTTAATCTACTACTTTCTTCGATTATTTTGAAGCAGATTGCTCTTTAACAAAAGCAATGCACATTAATAATTTTTGAATTATAAAATAAACTATCAAAAATTAAACATTGCAAACTAATTAAATCCCAATAAAAAAATAGATAATAAAATATTAGAATAAAAGGCTACTGTTGTACATGAAAAATATTACATTGTGTTAACTAAAAATTATTATTATACAAATATTATTTTATGTACAACAATTCAAAAGATAATGGTTTGTTATAAAAATTAAACTTTATTAAAATATAATATTAATAAAAAATTTAGAAATTTATATTTTATACGTTAATTAAAAGTATTATATATGTTGTAGTTTTTTTTATTAAAAAATTTATAACGAGGTGTAGCAAATTATTTTTATATGTTTTAGTAAATATTTTCGTGGATCTTGAAATAATTTCTAATGAATTTTTTGTGACCTAGAAAATTTGCAGAAACTTGATAAAAATCCATTATTATCTAATTTTTTGCTATTTCTTTTTATTCTTGCATTTATTATTAACAAAATAAACGTATTTTACTGTATTTAAACAATTATATTGTAAGATAGAAAAAGATTTTTGCCATAATTTAACTTTGATTTTTTTTTATTAGCTTATATTACCAACTTTGAAAGCGTCACTTTAAAGAGGTAACTAAATTCGTTTTTAAAATTCGTCTTGTATCGAAAATCCATATTCAATCGGCGAAAAGTTAACGATAACATCTTTCGAGAACTCTTTCGTGAAAAGTCTGTACGCGGAATATAGAGATTTGCGTACAGTTCTTTCGTGAGATCGGAAAAAAATTTCCGTTAGTTTATATTTCTATTCGTAGCGTTCGTTGTTCTCAATAAAACGGGCGAATAATTTTTAAAAAATTACCTCTCGACGGCTAAAGTCCACGGAACTGAATTTCGTGCGGGCGAGCGAGCGAGCGGCATGAAAAAACCGGATCGAGTCAGCGAAATATTTTGCCCGAGTCAGTGAAATATCTGTCGGCGGCCTGTGCGCGACTATATCCAGTTAATTGTACCCTTCGTATCGATCCTCTCGAGAGTGCGAGAGTGCCGTGGAATCGAGCCGTACGATAATGTTCACAATTTCCAAACTGTCGTGTGCAAACACTTTCGACCGCTCGCCACCGCCGCTCGACGACGACCGTCCTTTGCTTTCACAGCATCCGTACATTTGAATATTCAGAATACTTCGAGGATTTAGTAATGCCGTTTGACGTACGTGTGTCAATATGTATATGTGTCTACTTGCGAGCCGGTCAAAATCGCAATAAAACGCGGGCGATCAACGGCGAACATTTAATATGCTTACGTTTTTAATTAACGCGACTTTATCCGTCCGCTTAATGCGCGCCCACTTTGTTGCACGTTAAATATTGACGCTCGTTTCGCTATATATTGCAATAAATGAGAAATAAGTAAGCCAATAAACGTAACGGTCTGTTGAGCGCAATAAATTGTGATTTGCCATTATTGTATTATATTTAAGATAAGGTAAATTGCGCGTTCGTAAATTCTGACATAGTTACTCATATAGTTATTAATATAAATCACCCACTCGTACACGGAGTCTCTAAAAAATTTTGACGTGATGCGTGATTAATAGATTAACGATCTAATAAACGGGATAGGCGATTGTTGAAGCGAGACTACTGAATGTAAACATAAAGCATATCGTGTAATGTATTCTGCAATATCAGTGCGTCGCGAAGCGCACAATTGACCCAACCGTAAAAATAATGGTATTGGACTTTGTGCGTTAAATTGAATTATATGTGAACCGTGAAAATGAATTGAATTCCAGCAAGGGCCGACATTGTTCCGCGCTGTAAACTACTCGATGTGGATTCGTTGCGACCGCGCAAGTATTTATGCAACATTTACGATCGATTAATGCGCAAGCCGCGCGCGAGAATCGATACACCCCGCCAAAAGCCATTAGAGCTTTATATTTCCGCCATTTTCTCCGATCGACATTGGCCGGTATGCCGTATTGTCGCGAGCTCGCTCTCCATCTCAGCTGCCAATAATCCAATGGCAATAACGCGAATAATGTCGACCGATTTTTCACTGTGAATGAATGCGGATACGTCAACTCCGTTGCGTGAAACAGAATGACTTTCATCTATGCAATCAGCAATCGTTTTTCATATTAGATGAAATTGATAATTCTACGTTCAAGCGAGCACGTACAATGCAGCTGACATCTCTCGATATTTTAAATATGATAATTTCGAATATCAGTGCATAATTAGTGAGTAAAATTTAATCTTTCTCTCAACCTGTTCAATTCTTAGTTTAATGTTCGTACAATTTTGTATATCTATCACATATTTTTAACATTTAATTTTAAAAAATTGAGTTATAGATTGACACATTTTCCAAATTTATAAAGTTTTGATGATTAAGTAATATAATTTTTTTAATTTTTTATCTATTATTATTGTATTTATTTAATTACTAAAAGTTTTTCTGATCAAATAAATGATTTATACGTAATTATTGTGTAATCATGGAATCTCTGTTAAATTTAAAAACTCCATGTTGGTTGAATGCAAAATTAAAAAATTACCTACGCACTCATAAAATTTGCAGTAAAACCATTAACGAATTTTTGAGAGGAATATTACGTGTTTATCGTGAAAGTATATTATAAAAATAGACGAGGAGATTGCTAAACTTTCTAAATTTACGCAGCAAACAAATAATACATTGCAACTTCAATAACTCACATAATACACGATATATAACATGTAATAATAACATCGCGAAACATTACTACCGTGCTCTCATTCGCGGAATAGAATCTGTATGCATTTTACAGCGAGCAATAGCACATAATTTCCCTCGTGTAGCCGCTACTCTCAGAAAGTTCGCCTCGCTATTTGGTCGCACCTAAAGGGCATCAAACGTCTACGATATTAATCGCTCGCTATCCATTAGCAAATGGGCCCTGTGCGTGTGGCCTCTCGCTCAGAGGGAGTGCACATGCGAGCGTTCACCATTAACATTAACGCACCCTTTCTGCGCCGTTACGCAGTGAGGCAATTCACGCGTGAAATCGTTCGCGTGCGCCGTTGTTTAACGCATTCCGAGCCGCTAAAAGTCGCGTCGGGAGATTTCAGGTCGCGATAAAAGCCGTCGCTTCACGATCGATTAAAAGCGCGCGACGAAAAGCGATAGATACTGCGGATAATGAGTGGACCAATTTGCTCATAACTTGAAGATTGGCCGATTAGAAAGTACGAGCGATCCCGAAGAGCTCGCGACCGACCGACGGCGATTAAAGCTTTAAAGGGAATAATCGAACTTTATGTCAGACGGAAAATTGCACGAGCGCGAATAGGAAGCTTGTTAAAAATTACGTAGCTGCAGTGCGGGACGCAAGTAAAATTTCCAACGAAAACATGGTCAATTAAAATTTTCATGTCAATTGCAAAATATACAAGAAAATTGCTTTTTTCGTAATATCTTAATAATATTTCGTGTGCAAACACCGTGTATTAATATATAATGAGTTTTTGTATTGATTTACTGCCGAATTTATTTCTTTTTTCATCGATAATACTTGGAAATGTATAAATTTCTTTCGTAATTATTAATTATTATGAAAATTTTTATCTGTTAACCGGATAATGTGTGTCGCGCGGATTTATTCGCTTACCAAGCATTCAATATTTCTGTCGCGGAAGAGATTGCATTAAAACCCTTTGTCAACTTTCTGCATTGATTGATAATGTCGTTCATTCGCGTTGTGATAAATTATGGAATATACCGCAGCTTGTCCACAGCGAGTTCACCTTATCTGTTTATGTTTTGAAATTAGTTCATCCGATTAAGGATTAATAGAGCACATTCTATTGCCATTTGAATAATCCACACCACAATATTCGATAATTTTCAACTCAACTACATTCCCTTTTACACCGGCAATTTAATTGCGTTTAAATAAAC